AACAAAACATTGCTTAAATATTTAAGAGGTAAAAATGGTAAAATGCTTTCTCAAGTGAAAGCATTATTTGAGAAAGGAAGTTAGAGGTGAAACAAGGGTTTTTTTGTGTTTTTTTTAAACACAAGCAACTGTATTATGAGAGGAGGAAGGCACCAAAAATGAACAGGAAGCAGATGCTGTTGTGCTCACAGGTGGTATTTAAAAGCATAAACCAATTCTCATTCAAGGGGAAAAAAGAAGAAACAAAATATTAACTTTCTTCCACCCAAGACAAAGAGGTGACCGTTATCTGACTAGCATCACATAGACTGGTAAGATAAAGTCATGCTACTACTTCTCGCTGCATTACAGCAAAATAATGTAAAATGAAAAAAAAAACAAACAACTGCAGTCTTTGGGAGAACTGAAGAAACTGCAATAGATTTGTTTTTTTTTATTTTAAGGTTAAGTAACATATACTTGATATACCCCTTTCTGCTGAAAGGCTGTTAAATCTTCAACAACATTGATTTAATTTTCTCAAATAGAGTGAAGGAGAATCAGGACAGTTTTATACCACCCAAATTAGTTCTCAGCACAGCTATATTTTACTTGTATTTAGAACCATGCTGCGTCAGCTTGCAACCTTATATACAGGGTACCAGCGTGCTCACAGCCAATCTAACAGCTAATCAGCACCAAAAGGGAAGTGTTCTTGCATCCCTGCTCCTGCCCGAGCTGTTCCACTGCTTATCTTCTGCGGACTCCGTTAAATAAAAACGGCAACCTGTGGAAGTTCATAGCCTCGGTTCTTTTTCTAGACATCTGAATCTTTGTTGATTTTCAAGCAGGAATTGGGGAAATACTGTAAGTGGAGTTTACGAACACATTGGCCTACTAACCCCAACACTGATGTAGAATATCGTGATGTTGGAAGGCCTTATAGCTTATATAAATACTATGAAAGTGAAGTCCCAATACAACAGCAAGAGCATCTAATCAGTTGTATCCGTTAGCATTCTAGAGGACTGCTTTCGGCGTATTCATTAAAGCAGTTGTTTACACACACGTGCACGTGCAAACACTTAGATCCAAAAGAGAGAAAAAGACCTGATGCTTAGTAAGTACTGAAAGATTTTTTTTAACCTGACAGAAACAGCACTAGGCTCTCAGTTTTCACATTGGAAGTCCAGATAAGACTGCAACTATTTTAGAAGTTGGTGGGTGGGAGGCACTTAGTTTTTTAAATGCTGTTCTCTCCCTGCATTACCACCGACCTCTTGAAAAAGTATGTTTTTAACCATGTTAAGGATATGGTTAAGTATCAAAAACAGAAGGGATTTCTATTTATTATTTTCCAACAAAAACACAGCAAGCTCGATGACTACACCAGTTATACTCCGAGTTGTCATAGTCGATGCAGGGGCTACAGAAGCTTCCTTTCATAATCAAGATTTATTTGGCGTTTGTTTGGTGATTACAGACACTATGAACATTTTCAGAATTGTTTTTATTCATATAGTTTTTTTTTAATCTAAAAAAAAAAATTATTTTTTTTGAAGCCTATTACAATTATTCTTCATCTCACCTTTGCAGACAAGCTGTCCTTTAAAACTGGACGTGAAGTGCCAGTATCTTGCATACTGACATAAGCTGTTACATCTGCCAAGCAGAAAGTTTTCCCTATTCAGTATTTAAGGATATAATAAGGGTTTTCAATCCTTCAGCATTTACAAAGCTGTTGGAAAAAAATAAAACTGCACTTACCAAAAATAATTTTGTCACAGGCAGTACACAACTCAGCAAGAAATCCAACACTGGGGAACAGTTTTATTAGGTAAGCAATTCTACTGATAGTACAATCATAGATAAATAACTACAATGTTAAGACATCTTCAACACCTTCAAAGTTTGATCTGTTATGCTTCATTTAATAGGAAAGAAAAGAACTGTCCCTCACTGTCTATGGAACGAGAAGCCTAATCAAGACTTTGAAGCCCTCAACATTCCATTAATTTCTGGTATCATAGAAAAGAGACAACCAGTACACGATTTTACCACTTTAAAAAAGTATTCATACTTATCTAAATATGTAAAAAAATGGGTTGAGTTGGGATTCTTTCCTTTTTAAAAATGTGCTTTCTAGAACTACTAAAAAACTTGCATTTACAAAATAGTTGATAAAAATAATCCTCTGAATTGTACAAGAAGAAAGGTATAAGGACCACCAAATAAAGAGTCGGTATAAGATGTTATTCTGACTTAGCTTCTTTCTCTACTACTGCATCAGATGCTGGGGTCTGAAAGGAAAAAAAAAAAAAGCAGAACACTTTAATGCAAGAAGTTTCATAGCAACTCAGCCACTTCATTCATAATAAACTTTAATAACCAGTATGTAGGACAACCTTAAAAATCATGTTATTTTTAATCTGCAGTTAGTTAATTTGACATCTGAACAACCATGTCTTTTTTTCTGCATACCGTGCTTTGTAGTGTTAATAAACTTGTGCCACGATCTGCTCATTTCTCTTGGATAACGATCTACTAAGAACAAGCTTTCTTGAAAAGGCTCCTACCTCCTCAAATATATCACTATGAAGTCAAAATATTTATGTTGTTACCACTCAAGACATACCTGGACACATTGAAATGGATTTTTTTTTTTTTTGAATGAAGCCCATTTCCATCATTACTGCCTTCACGACAAGTTGGTTTTTTTTTTAACCTAGTAAGCGAATATCCTTGCATATAACATGTTTAGAAAAGACATTAAAAATACACTTTGTGCAACACACTTTCAAATCTTACTATGTTTTAAGGTAAGTAAGTCTTAAGAACACAGTACAGCATTAAACATAATTTTGTAAAAATACATCAAACTAACCAAACTGCAGCAGCAGAGCCACAGTGCTTTTAGATCAAGTCACTATATGCTGTACCTCAAATGCAAAACAAGTTCATACAAACTTCATTGATCAAAATTACAACCCCATTTAGATTAGAAAACTCACTGCATTTGCAACATCAAGTAAAAAAGGAATGTAGCATATGTATTAACATAAAAACTATACTTAATTTAGTTATTCCAAAGCTTTCCAGCACCACCAGCAGAACAGAAGGTTTAGTCATAGTACTACCCAAACAGAAACCATAACACCTGTTATGGCATCTGGGGGAAGCTTTTCAAGAATCAAGTGCAATAGCCACTTCCATGCATAGGCACGACTCTCTGAATTTTAGTGTTACCAGAAGAGTTCATTGGCCTTTACAATAGATCGCTGATACTATTGTACTGGTTGAAACAGTAGTGTCTAATTAATATCATATGGGACAGATTATACCTCCGTCTCCTCTAGGCTTACATATCTATTAATTCAGCAGTTCTGGCTGGTGTGACCAATATGAGACCAGCATTGACCATATGCTCCAAAAGTCATTATCCGTTCCTTAAATTTACACCTTTTCTACCCTAATATATTAAGGAGGCCACAGTGGAGAAATATTGCCAAATTTAACTTTCACTGGTATGCACATATTTAAAGTAAAAGGACCAATTTATGTGATGGTAATAGAAATCTAGAATCATATAAGAATTAAACCAACTTAATTCCTATTTATAGCACAGCTTTTCACAAAGATCATACAGTAAGTCTGCAAATGAAAAACTGTTACCCCACAACTGAGTTGTCTTGTATACTCAAATACCCTCCTCATCCACCAAAACCTACCATCCACCTAAAAACTAAATACTGTTTTCCCCTACGTGAACACGTATTCGCACACTGGGGAAAAAAATGCTTGTTCAATGCAACCACCAGACAGGAAGCATGAATCACACATTTAAATTAACAAATCATCTGATCATTAAACTCAACTAAACTAATTGAAATGAGTGAGGCAGTCGACACTGCAGAAACCCGAGACTAACTCTTCTAAGCCTGCAGTATACTACATGAAAACTTGTGTGTTTTACGCAGTTTTTAAAGTTGCCCTAATAAGAGACACTGCCTCTCCCAACAAATCTTGTCCTTCTTCCAAATTTAAAACCAGATTATGGGCACATCCGTAGCAAAAAAGGAATATAGTGTAGAAGATGTTTAAGTCAGATGATCACTAAAACCAAAAACATAAATAACACGGCTATTTTAACACAACATTACAACAAAGACTGATTTGACACATTCATTTCTTCAGCAGCAACAACTATAAAATAGTCCTTGTCCCTTCTTTTCCATCCCCGCACCATTCCTTCCCTTCTAACAGCAAAGGTGTCTATAAGACTCCCATTAATAAAATAAATAGAGATAAAGATAAAGTGGTTTTGGTCAAGCCATTTCAACTTCAAATTTTCAAAACTCTGAAATAACGAAAAATGTTTCCAGCGGAAGATTTCCTAAGAAAATGAATGGTGTTTTTGTCAAAAAAATTTTTAGGAAGAAGGAAACTCTCTTCCAAGAATGGCATAGGCAGATTCACAACCTACACTCAAGACTGAAAAAAGCAAACCAAACCAAACCGCCCTCCAAACAACCACTCCCCCATCCTCCCAAGCACATACAGCAATATTACCTCTGTATACCTTGTACGTATTATTTTGTCAAAACCTACCGGGCAAAACAGCTCCTCTTAGAAGGACGTTGTCCTGTATTGGAACTTGGGTAAAACTCTCACCTTTTCCTTTATTTCAGGGACTGTATCACATCACTGCAACTTTACTTCCACCGTTTTTGGGAGAACTAGAATTTTCCTGGCTTATCCTATTGATGCTTTCACAATCTACACCTTTCTTTTGGCAGAAATAGATTCTAATATAAGTACTGCATACATAAGCCGAAACACATTTGTCAGACAATTACAAAAACCAGTACAGTAGGTACTTCCGTTGCTTTGCACTCAAAGAACACTGACAACCTTACCTCCTCACTTTTAGTTTCTCCATTTTCTGCAGGCAAGCTGTCCTTTGTCTGTCCTTGGTTCATCTCTTCTGTCTGTTTTCCTTTAGGCCCTTTTTTCCCTTTTGACTGAGCTTTCTTGTCCTCAGATTTATCCTACAATGACATAAAATTCCAGTAAGTAAATGCATATAATCTAGTAGGTAAACCTTGAAAATAATAAAAAATAAAAAAGATGAACTTGCTGTAAGCAGCAAGAGCTACCAACAACAACCAATGAGTTAATACACAGCTGAGCTGCTAAAAAAAGAGCTTTCAAAACTGTATGTAGACCAACAATCACTGATTCAGACAGTCAGGAAAACGAGAGAATCTAAATGGGATCAGAAGAGAACCCCTCCCCTTTTTTCCTCTCTTCCCCCCCCAACACTGAACGCTACAGTTTACGAAATCGGTCACAGAATCTAGAATCACTACATTGTATAATAACTAAAAGTACTGCTTAGTTTAGTGCAAAACCATCTGAAAAACCCATCACAGGGAAAAACAATGGTATTGAATTGCAGTGGTGAAACAAGAACTACTTGTAATACACGATTTATTTGCCACCTCTTGTGGCAGATAAAACAGCAGTGCAGTCCTTCCACTTCGTAAATACAAAACGCTTCAAACTTTCAGCTTTCTTTTACTTACGATGGGTGAATTTCAATAATTTGAATAAATGAATCATCTGAATTTTTCATTTTCAGCAGTGCTTTGCTTAAGTATCTCAGTCATATCCTTTGTACCTGCATTACTGTTGTTAAATGGGCAGGGAAAACTACTTGCCCAAGAGCTTTTTTTTCATGAAAATATGCAATACACCCTTCCAGACATTCCATTCAGCAATCAAACGCTACAAACTTTGCCAGTCCTCCAGCTGATCTCCATACTTGCAAAATATTTGCATCAATTCAGAACTACATAAAAGTACTTTTATTTTACACCATCTCTCAAACATTAGCCTCATTACTTAATGACACTAACATTTATTAAGTGACAAGAGAATGTAACACCTTTATACCTCTAAGGAGAAGAATCTATGCTCTAATTTATTGTCTCTGACCTAAAACTTACTCTGAGAAACAAAGTTCTCATTTTGCTCATTCCACGCGGAAACGGGTATCGAGATTCTATTACAAACCATTGGGTCAGAAGTCTTCACCGCAAGCATTCTCCTTTACAAAACGCCCACTGTCAGGCTACTGAGTTACTTTACGCATTCAACTTTTGCGTAGCTAGTTGAATACATCTCCTATTCCACACGAATGCAAATGTAAAATATTTTCTTCATGAAAGACACAATTTTGTCAAATGACTGCAATTATAAAACAAAAGTTCAAAATGTTTTATGTCACAGGATACAAACACACAAAAGGTACATCACATCTGCAATAAAACCACACATTAACGGACAACTCTGAGGCAGCGCTCTGCAAGTTCACTAACTTCCTTATTTTATGGCAAATAGTCTGTCTACTAATACCTGTAAATAAATTCTCACTTCAAATCTTACTGTTCATTTTAGTAATAGCTATATTATTTCTTCCTTGTCAGATCCGAATAGCTGAAAATATTGCATCTAGAAACAACATGCGCTTATCTAAATATTGAGCCTTTCTGCTCTGTACAGATATGCAGTATTCTAGAATGCTTTACCGGGAGGTTTAGGTTTGGTCTTATGGCCCTTGCTCAAATCCTTCTAGCATGCAATTTAAACAAGTAAAAATCAATGCTGAAACATGTTAGCTAGCTAAATCTTCCATGTCCCACAAAACCTGAGAAATACTTTGGTCTCACTTTTAGAAAATGTTTATTTGCCTTTAATCAAGAGTCAGAGAAAACAACTGAGACATACCAATGGTGAAAAAAAAAATCCCTTTACAAAGTTATTAAGGATAGCAATTCACAAAGTATTACAAATTCAGCTAACAGACAAAATTCCACAACTTGTAAACTTCTGCGTTTTGATTTTAAAGGTATGTTTTAAAAAAATATGTAATTCCATAACATGCAAACTTGTCCAACCCAGTGAAAATATCGTCAGCAGAAGTTTTCAGAAGTTACGAGTTGATGCAAGGAAGCATCTGTTGATGTACAAAATATAGGAAAAAATATCAGTATACAACAGTGAAATAAGTTTTGCAATCCATTTTAGAAAGTCTAAAGATAGCTAAAACGAAAAAGAGAAAAAAAAAGATGCTGGTGAAGCAAAACACAGAACTGATTTCTACACTAACAATGTGAAAAAGTGGTTTCCAGAGGACATAAATAAAAGGGTTTGGTGACAGCCTGAATTCTAGAGCAAAGATGATGACCAAATGCAAAACAAGTTATGCATTCGTTTGAACTGCCAACAATAAGAAGGATCAGAAAAAAGATTATTCACGTTATAACATTTCATGGGTGCATTGTGCTAGATGTTGGTATCATAAGATGACAATGGTTTGTGATGTATTTATTTTATGTAACATCTTCACTACTTACAACTCAGTCAAAGGATACGTTCCCAGCTATGAACTGTGCATATGTTACTTTTTAGAACTAAAGTAGTTACACAGGCAGCAGATCAGTATCACCCATATCTGTCATTCACTGGCATTGTAAAGATTTAGATGTCAAAAAAAACCAAGCCAAACCAAAGAACCAAAATCAATACTCAGTTCAAGTAAAACTGGAAAACTTCCTAAATCCTTTAGGCCTAAGCTTGAAGAATAGAAGTAATTTGTTATCAAACCATTGGAATGAAGGTGCATTACTGATAAGTGACCATTCAGTAGGATTATTAAACTGAAAATATAAAAAAATTTGCAAGGGAGAGTTCTAGATTAGCTTCTTTGAAATGCTCTTGACCTATGCATTAAAAAAAAAAAGTTTATAATATTAAGGCTACTTTAAAAAATATATATACATACCAACATGGCAACAGATACATAGCCACTTTTATTTTTCCAAGAAACAAAAAATTTCATACCTCAGCTATGACATCACTTAAACTATACTGAAAAATTACACTTACTTAAATAAACAAATGAAAACACACTTATTTATACATGTGCACAAAGACACAGAAACTAGAGTACACAAACGGAAACTCAGATATGTTTCAGCGTCTGCCTAAATACTTCAAAAACATTTTACTGTCCTAATACATTGCTTTAAATTGCAAGCATATTTTATCCTCTTTGAGATGAATGTAATACAAACCAAGGTACAATTGCCTGAAGGTCCAAGTAGCTACGATCAGTACTGAAATACCATCCAGCATCCCTAAAACAATGGTCACATTTCTATCCAGCCCTAGAAAAGCTTCACATGGATCCAACGAAGGAGTGGTAGACTGGAACTCTCTCTGGTGCACCTTCAGATGCTGGTATGAGCCTCTGAAAAGGATCTTTGTGCTAAATAAACATTCTCACGATGAACAACCGAGGGCTAGTTTTGACATAAAAGCATTCAAAGACAACGCATCCACAACAGGAAGCAAGAAGTAGCTAGGCACTTGCTGAACAAACTCAACCACCTGTTCTCCCTCTCCTCTTCCCAGTGATTCTCACCTTTGCCGTTGACTTTTTTGGCTTCAGCTCTGCTTTGGCAGGAGGCGGTTTCTGAGGAGAAAGAACAAGTCAGCGAGACCGTCAGCCCTCGTCACCCCGCCTTCTGCAACACAATCCCCCAGCGCCCAGGACAACACCTCCAGGTCGTGCCTGCACTTACAGCGGAGAGCCGCGCAGATCTCCTCTTCGGCTAAAGACAAGGAAAGAGAGAGACACGGCGTGAGCGAGCAAGCAAGCCTGTCGTAGGCGGCGGGG